TTAGCTTTCTTCGATAAGATCAAGCCCGCCTTCCCGATAAGCAATGCCACCAAATTTTTCCTCTTCAACAATATTTTCTTGCAGTCTCACATTCTCTCATTCAACCCCCCCACCCTAAACATATCTTCAATCACTTCAATATGTCTTCTACACAGTCTGCCGCTGAAGTTGAACCTCATAAGATTTTCGATACTATCCTTACTTTAGATTTTGGCTCCCAATACACTCATCTTATCACCAGACGTTTGCGTGAACTCAATGTCTACTCCGAAATGCTCCCGTGCACACAAAAGCTTGCAGATCTCGACTGGAAGCCAAAAGGAATCATCTTGTCTGGAGGGCCCTACTCAGTATACGAAGATGGTGCACCACACGTTGACCCAGCATACTTTGAACTTGGAGTCCCCATTCTTGGAATATGCTACGGAATGCAAGAGATTGCTTATAGAATCAGCAAAGACAATGTCAGTGCTGGCACCGCTCGCGAGTTCGGGCATGCAGATTTAAAAGCAAAGAAAATTGATAATGGACATGTGGATAAACTATTCGCAGGATTGGAGGACGATATCAAAGTGTGGATGAGTCATGGTGATAAATTGATTGCATTACCCACAGGATTCCATACTATTGCTACGACACAGAATTCTGAGTATGCAGCAATTGCGCATGAAAGTCAACACATTTATGGTACGGGAATTTGCGGTTGTCATCTTAATCCATGAATTGGAACTAACTTCATTTTAGGTCTTCAATTCCACCCTGAAGTTACTCACACCGAAAATGGAATTCAACTCCTCAAGAACTTCGCTGTCGATATCTGCGGAGCTCAAACAAACTGGTCCATGGCAAAATTCGTTGATCAAGAAATCACCAGAATTCGTAAATTGGTTGGAGAGAAGGGTCAAGTGTTGGGTGCTGTCAGTGGAGGTGTTGATTCAACTGTCGCTGCCAAATTAATGCACGAGGCTATTGGAGATCGGTTCCATGCCGTTCTCGTCAACAACGGTGTTATGCGATTGAACGAGTGCGAACAAGTACGAAAGACATTAACAGAAAATCTCGGCATCAACTTAATTGTGGCAGATGCGTCTGACCAATTCCTTGATGGCTTAGCAGGACTTGACGAACCGGAAGCAAAGAGAAAGTTCATTGGAGGAAAATTCATTGATATTTTTGAAGCCGAGGCCAAGAAAATTGAAGACGCAGCCGCCAATTCAGACAAAGCAGGAAAGATTGAATTCTTCTTGCAAGGAACTTTATACCCAGATGTCATTGAAAGTATCTCTTTCAAGGGCCCATCCGCAACAATCAAAACACATCACAACGTTGGTGGTCTCCCTAAACGCATGACGGAAGGCCAAGGACTCAAACTTATTGAACCTTTGAGAGAATTGTTCAAGGATGAAGTTAGACAATTGGGACGAGAGTTAGGTATTGCTCACGAACTCGTTATGCGTCATCCTTTCCCAGGCCCAGGTATTGCTATTCGTGTCTTGGGAGAAGTCACTCGGGAACGTGTCGAAATGGCTAGACAAGCCGATCATATCTTCATTTCTATGATCAGAGAGGCAGGCCTCTATGACAAGATCGGACAAGCATTTGCGGCTGTCGATCCAAGTAAAGCGGTGGGTGTTATGGGTGATAAGAGAGTGTATGGAAACATTGTTATTTTGAGAGCAGTCGAGACCACGGATTTCATGACGGCCATCGCATATCCATTTGAGAACGCTTTCTTGAGCAAAGTGTCCACAAGAATCATCAATGAAGTTCATGGCGTCTGCAGAGTGGTATATGATTACACTAGCAAGCCTCCTGGAACCATTGAGTTGGAGTAAGTGCTGTATTTTGTGTTTAGGCGTTACTTGAGTACATACCTAGCTTTAGATTGATAGATCCCTCAAATCGGTATAGAGAATTACAAAAATTCAAAGTTAAAGAATCAAAGTTTATGTGCGCTCAAATATCGATGCTGTGAGATATTTGAGAATCGTCGGTAACGTTTGTAGATAGACATACTTTGAAGTGAAGGTCTAGATCTGCAAACATGATACCGTGAAAGATGATTTACATATATTGTTACTGCTGGATTGGCGAAGAGTGGACAACATGAAGCAAGAGTATGAACATCGCGAGGCCACAAACATCTCAATCAAGAATTCAAAGTTATCAATAGGGCTTGGGAAACCCTTCACCACGAACCAAGTCTCGAGACAGGATGCGGCATGATAGGTCTACTCGTAATGAAGTATATAAGCTTACACAATGACAGGCTTTGGAACCAGCATAGATAGATAGGTAGTTAGGCACAACTCTCCGAAAAGTCGAGGGAGATAAGGGCACTCAGTCCAATCTTAGTCTAATCGTCGCTCAATATGACGAGTCTTTGTGAGACGAGGAAAGGTCAGAATGCACTCAGTCTACTTGAGTAGATAAATACATAGCTATATGTATATACCAATAAATCATCGAATATGATTAACTTTCGGAAATCCAGTGCATTTATTATATAGATACAGAAAATGAAGTCATATATTCATTCATTCAAACTTCTTATTCTTGGTGATTTTTTTGATTGTTCCCATCCATACATCTCTCAATTTCTTTTTGTACAACCGCCCTGCGCCCTGCCTATAAATCCTTCCAACCCATTTATTGGATCATCTCTCATCTCCCAGCTTCCAACATCCCGAAACGACAGCTTGACATCAATGTGCCTCTATTATGCTATCGCAAAGCAATGAATACCGATATTGATTATCTATAGAGAAAAGAGAAATACATCATCTATCTATCTATCCTTGATGAGGAGCCATTCCAAGGGAGTTGTTTCCTCCATTGAATGCGACGAATTGAGACTTGAACATAATGTCACCGTAAATCTGGAGGTTGGAGGTAGTGGCTTGGAGACCTCCGAAACAGGCTGTGAAGAATGAATGTTAGTAAATTGTTCAGAAAGAAAGGAAAATCATGTCATAACTTACTAGTACCAGTGCTATCAACAGGAGCATAGTTGATATCATCACCACGAACAATAGCCATATAGGTTCCTCCAACATCGACGGCCAAATCTGGCAACTTCGCAGAGCATGGGAATGTAACACCACCGACAGTTTGGTTGTTGACAGCTCCTTGAACCTTGCTATAGTAGCCATTGATAATGTTAGGATCGGCCAACATAAGAGTGGTTCCGGTATCAGCAATAGCTTGTCCGTTAGGTACAGCAGTGGCGGCACCACCTCCAACGGTGAATTTAGAGGAGCTAAATTGCCAGAATCCTTGAGTGGTATTGACGGCAGCCCAGGTCAGGGATCCGTTGAACTTGGTAGCATCAATGTTTCCGAATTCGTAGGAGCCAGCGGCAGCTTTGCGGAGATCGGCAGTGAAGACTGGTTGGGCGAGACCTTGGGCCATGGCGTTGTCGAAGAATGTCTTTTGTTGAGCAGGCTTGACGGTGTTGAGTTTAGAGAATGCGAGACCGACAAGTCCGTTAGATTGGGTGTCGGAGACGAAGGATGCGGAGACCGCGGTGGCCATTTCGATGGCTTGTCCAGTGACAGTTGCTCCTCCAATGTTAACGGTGTCGGTTCCAACGTTACCAGCAGCTCCTGATCCATCACCGTATGAGATGGACCAAGTAGAACCTTGTATCGCCTTGAAGCTGGTAGATTTGGATGCATCGAAGTTTTGGTGACCAGCTTGGGAAGCTGTTGGGAGTTGAGTGCTGAAGACCCAAAGATCGGAGGATCCACTGTCAAAGTCCATGTTCATTTTTTGTCCACCGATGTCGACTTCCGACAAGTATTCGGTATCTCCGGTCTCTGGGGTAGCAGCGACGACACCAGTTCCTGCAGCTCCGCTACCACTTGCAGCTGCGGCTACCGCAGTTGTACTTCCAGTTGCGGCCTTGGAGTTTCCATTTGGGAAGGCAGGGTTCGCACCATTGTTCATGGCTTCGACCAATGAAGCTGGGAGGGTCATGGAATGCTTATTGTATGCCTTGATAAGAGCTCTTGTACCGGCACCGGCTGTTCGTCCGACATAATTAGGGTTCGCAACTCGTTCAACCTTGAAGCTTCGCTTTTGTGCTGGGTGTGGAGCGGCGAAGACTAAGTTGAGGAGGGCGAGGACATAGAATGCTTGAAGTAATGAAGGCATTTTGAATGATCGATAGAGCCACACCAGGTGGTTGTATTGTGGAGGGGGGGAAAGTGATTGGCTTGTGTGAAAGAGAGACTGTTGCTGTTGCTTGAAATGGACCAGATCACAAGAAAAAGGAGGAAGATTGCTGGAAAATATGAACTGAGAAACGAAAATGGATGCCGGCCCCAATATTATTATGAAGGAAATGTAAATAGATATATGAACGAAGACTGAAAATTCAACTAAAAAAAACAAACAGAAGAGGCCTGGAGATATTCCGGGTATGAAGATGAATAGAGATAGAGAAGAATGGGAATTAAAACGAAAACACGCGGCTTTTCACGAAGAATAAGTAGAAGAAATATGATGCTTGTGTATGAAGCTTTAGGACCACTTGATATGCAAGTTTGAAGACAAGGTTCAAACGCCAAAGCTAGATGCCAGACATAAGGTGCGGCATAATGGTGGAGAATGATACTTATTCAGGAAAAGCCCCTCAACGTCTTGAATAGCCGGGTATGCGTGTTTGATCTTTTTCCGGACCTCATGGCGGTTGTCTGTGCTTTTTGAGAGAGAGACTTCGGAGGTTAAGCAAGACTTTGATTGACCCTTGTTGAGATTTGTATGAGAAAAGATTTCAAGGACTTGTCAAACTGGGAGGGGAAAGTCAAAAGTACGGACATAATGGCTATACCTACTCGAGTAGGTAAGAATAGTCATATCCAGTCAAATCTAAATCAAGCGAGTCTAGTAGATTCTTTGGGCGATCTTAAATTGGCGGCAGCTCGATAATTGAATCGTGTACGAGTATGAAGAGCCATGGAAATTCACGAGTTAACGAGATGGTAACATTGTGATACTCATTGTAGAGCCAAATTCATAGGATAGAGTTGTAGAGAAAGATAAAAATGAGGAGAAGATTAGAGATTAGTAATTTTATGGGCCCTTTGAGATTCAGGGGAAGGCCTAGAAGACCCTGGAGCTTGGCATTATCATCGGCATAACAATGATAACATGCATATTAATAGTTAATACTGTAAAAAATATAATGTTGAAGCTGACGTTTACCCAAAATACCAAGACTTAACTAGAGAAGCGTATTCATATTGATTCATGTTGATCAAATATGAATGGAACTTGTGTGGTGATGGATATCGAGGTTACAAGCTTGGCACAATCTGATTCCCCTGAAAATAGGATCAAAAACTTCAAATAGATGGATATGTTATTCCGAAGTCAATACCGATCATTAGGGTTTTAGAGCATTAAATGTACCTGTACCAAGATAAATATCAAGAGATAGTTCATCTATTTTGAATCAACCATTTCCTATAAGTTTTCTTTGGTTATTTACTTGGTCAAATCCATTTCCAGTACTTTTCCGTCATGATATACAGATTTAGCCATGTCTTCTGAGCAATTACAACAAACGTGGGACAACTCGAGTTGCCTGCCTGCCAGCATTAAACTCATATGCTAAGCTTTTTGATACAACTCCATTTTTGAAAGCCCTCATTGATTATTAAGTGACTCGGATACGTTTTCTTCATGTAAGTGTTTCCCAATGTTTCAGGATTCAGAGTTATATAGTAGAAAGTTAATCTGTACGCCACCACTAATAAGATCTAGAACATTGTTTGTATCGACTGGATTCTTTTTGCTATACATAGGAGTTTTGAGGCCGTTACATTGTGTACAAAGCAGAATGTATCATCCTTCCAGTAAACTATGACCTGTATATTTGTCGTTTAGTCACCTTCGCGTACCCCCTTCATCACATACCAAAAATCAATTAGCGCTTCTTTACCAGAATGATAAAAATGATATCTGCGTGGCTGCGACCTGGGCGACAGGGTTTATAAATCTATACAGCATCCCCCGCCACCCGAGCTTGAAACCTCATGTACTCTAATCTGAAACGCCAGATCTTGGCCACCAATCATTGAATCGGAGTTGTATGTCCAAAAAGGGGTTTGCTAATTCTTGGATATGTCTTGTGTTGATTGGATGAGAGAAAGATTTTTCTAATATCATCGATTCCTTCCACCTCCACTGCACAGCCTCATATAAAAGAAACTCTTATGTTAATTAACAAATCCTTGTACTATAAGGCCAGGCTTATGAAATATCATAGTAGTATTTCTCCTTGTGATTTTTGAATTGCATTGTTCATGACTTATGATCTAGCTTGCTTATTTGGTCGTTGAAGTCGTACTCAAGCAATCATCCCATCATATCATCTATCCTTTTCATGCCTTTAAAGCTTAAGCTTCTATTTACGAAAAGCATTATACATACAAAATTAACCTTTCAAGCTTCATCGTGCCACCAGTTGTGCATTTGGAAAGGATGATTACATTATTCGTGCGTTCGCCTCGAAAGCCCAAACATCTCACCACCTCACCAAAATATTCTCAAACCTTATTCGTCTCCAAATATTCCACATAGCCACTGATAATATGTATTGTCGTCTATCATACAAATACTACAAGGCACACGTACCTTGACCCAGTCCACCATCTCAGGCTATTTAAAAGATAGATTCATATGAGATGAGATCAAACTGCAAAGTTATGGGGTATATCTCCCTGCATTCATACGTCAAACACGGATATCTATGGAAACAATACATATCCAGTTCGCAGTTTGAATGGCTGTGCAGTGCGCAAGCTCAAGAATGAAGTTTATATGAATCAAAAGCTTGTTTTGAACTTGTTTTAGTACCTAAGACCAAGATAATCATGTCATTATTTTCGACACCGCTCAAGATGTATCATCGCCTCCTTCGAAGTTTGTGTCCGCTGTCGAGTGAGAGTTCGTTTCGTACTTTCGAGGCTTGATTGTTTTGGTTCATCCGAGGACAAAGTATTCTTCTCCACCAGTGTACAGTGTACAGTGTGCCATAATTCCTGCAAGTTAAAGTACTGTCAAGGTGTGATACCAAAGAGTATTGGTATCTCCCATGGCATGTGTTATTGCTTCGAGTCTCGAGGGTTGGAATCTGCTTCGAATTCTCAAGTCTCAATCATAATGGCTCAGCTCAATCACTAAACACGGCCTATATTGTTCCATTTCAACTTGATGCGTGATTATCACACATCGTGTAGATCATCTACGATTGCGTATTCATGATCTGAATAAAAGTATCATGTTTGCAGGTTCTCGAGTGTTGTTACATCTGTGGAACATTTGTATCATCAGAGTTTGTTTATCACGCTACCTCCCCCGCAAAGCTTGACTTGGACGAGGCAGACATGTATGAATCGTACTCCTCTTTCTTGAATTAGCAGATAAATATTTCAGCCTCACTAAGCTTTACCACTAGACCTAACATGTGTGCTGCTCGAAATCTCTATAGAAAGCTTATTCGGGAATGTGGAGGCGAACAGGGCGCTTAGGTCTATAGAAGGCTTATGTCTACCAGTGCAGTGAGATTTGTGAGATTTGGACGGTGAAGGTGTGGTTGAAGATAGTGTGGGTAAAGATGATATCGTTACCCTATCAACTATGATCTGTTGTATCTCGTATTGGGCAAGTTTCAATGGTTAATCAGAGCCCTTCTTTATTCCTGATTATAATAATCTCCATCGCCGACTCAAAAATCATCTTCTATTCTCAGTAGTCCATTCCACTTTTTCTCACTTTATTCAACTCAAGCTTTCTCACGGTGACGGATCGACGACTCTATTTTTGATAAGCCTCATCATCAGCAAAGGGGTGGATCAAGAACTGTTTCAAATCCTAGAGAAATGATGAATGCTGTTTTCGAAACGATCTGTATTTCGCCTCAGTTCCACTCAACGAGTCACTGAATCCTTCTACCCGGCCCACAGACATTGATGCTTATATCCTCTAAACCATACTTGTTTCGACCGATGTTTGTATTCCGATCCTTTTCGGCATGTTGAAAGTGAATTTCGAATACTTACTCATATGGGAATCAAGCATTGGGGGTCCAACATCCGGCGCTGGTTCGACATTTTTGATTTAGACACTGACTTCCGTCGTGCCATCCTGTCATCAAGTGAAGTGATGGCATCTCGCCCTCAGAATCTGAATAGATCGCAATGTTCACGAACAAAAACACCTTCAAAATAACGTATCCTATCTCCAAAGTTATAATAAGCAACAATATGGCTCTCGTGAGTCAAGTATAACGCTATAGCCATGCCATATAAACTCCAACGAACAATACAAGCATTGTAATTCACCATCTCACGTTCCGGTTTCGCCATTCTCTGAATTCCGTATACGCAGCTCGCTGAGGCTATGCTGTTGGAATAAAAGCCCAGTCTTTCCTCGTGTAATTCATATGTTATGTTTTCGGTAGCAAACATATCCGGAGATCTTGTAACATCTGTGGTAACAGTAAAATCATGTTATGTTTCTACCGAGATATCCTTTTGTTTGGCTATGGTTTTATGGTCGATTAGTAGGACTCGTACAGTCTTGCGGAGAGGGATAAGATTTCTGGCATCCATCACTAGGCACGGGATAGAAGAGGAAAGAAAGATGAATGGAGTGCTAAGCAGTTGAATCAAGATCAGTGCAAATTACATATATCAAGTCAAGTGTTTGCATTTGCAGAACGAAATGGCTCATGGTGATGATACTAAGATGACGAGATTATTCATCAGTATATCTTTAGAAGAGGAAGCTACATCCCCTACTATACATATGTATGCTACAAAACAAGAAAGATAAAATAGAAGTTGACGATAGATTACATTACCCTATAAAGAACATCTCTAATAATGCCACTGTCCTTATTCGAGTTTTCACTCAGTGATGCTTTCTGTTTGTCAATCTTTCTAATATCATGGACTGAAGATACCACCATATGTATCGCAACACTACCTGGAGATATGCTGCTGTTATGATATCATATTATGATCATCCACATCACATTTGATTTGAGAACGATTAAGAACTCAACATGAAGTCTTCATCGTTCACACAACCAAGGGCGAGATTTCTGGAATCAAAAATAAACTTGACAATATGATGACGGGGGTATCGATACAGTGGATCGACTCAAAGTGCACATCTGATTTGGGGATATTAAAAACATACTGTTAACATTTGAAGAAAGTATTGTTGGCGAATAATAAATATACAGAACGGTATACATTTGCTCTACATATCCTATTTCCACATCTTATCGTACCAAGCACTCAATCTATCTCATACATCAACATACCCAATACTGATACCTATGCATTCACCACTGTCTCCCCACTCGGAAATCCAGCTTCATATTGCAATACCAACTTAACACCTGCCCCTGGTGCCAACCTCACATTCCAAAGCACCTCTCCACTCTTCTTTAATTCTGCATCGGCCGTTCCCCATGCATCAGGTTTCTTACTTCGACGTACGAGCTCGCCTCCACCACTAGAGCTCCTCTCTCTATCTCTCTCCCGCTCCCGACCTCCTTGAAGCATCTCATCATCTAAGTTCATCCCCGTGGAGATTCTATCACCATCAGGTTGCAAGCCTCGTGGGACCAAAACTTCAACTCGAAGTCGCTCTTCCTCGGATACCGGCACCTGATCCATAACTAATAGACTAACACTTCTTTGAACTCTTGTATTGCGCAAGGACAAAGAACGTAAAAATACGTTGCTGTCTTCTTTTGAGAAGATTCCACTTTGCGAACGTCGCACTTCGGGCTTGTTATAGACAACTTTGATTGCTGGATCAACACCGAGATTTAAGCTTAAACTCTCACCAACAGAACATCTCGGGAAAGTAGCCTGGCCCAGAAAACTGCCATCCAAATTTAATCCCACTGGGCCTGCTAACAATGGAATCTTCGATGAGTTGCGCAATTTAGCTTTGAGGAATGCGACAGTTCGGAGTTTGGGTATAACCACATGTTCAAACCCGATATTCTTGAACTCAATCTTCGCAATCTTGTGCTTGAGGACCGAGTTGGAAGGCATGAGTGTTTTAAGGCCGGGGAGATCGTAAGTGGTAGACATGCCGGACTCTTCCCAAGCTCCTTCTTCGAATGTGAGAGTAGGTTTGGGAGAAAGGAGACGTTGAACAAGTGGAGCTTCGAGCGCACCAGTGGGATCGCCTATATCCGATCCGGGCGCGGAAACATTAATGATGTGCTCCGGATGCATGGGGGGTTGGACACTCCCGAATAGTGTACCTTGGGTAGCTTGACTCGTGGAGTTTTCGGATACAGGCTCCAAGTTCTGAGCTGGTGGTGGGCGAACAGCCCCGAACAATCCACCGCTGGAGACGGGATTTTGAGACGATCCAAGATTCCCGAATAACCCTCCAGTAACTGGCACAGTAGACCCAAACAAAGCGCCGGTAGGAGTTTGGGAAGATGCAGCAGCTCCGAATCCTGTTGATTGTGGGAAAAGGTTTGGTTTGGCTTGGTCTGGGGCATTTCCAAACAAACCGTTACTCGCAAATCCACCTTTATTAGAAAATGGATTGTTGGTTGGCTCGAATCCAAAAAGAAGATATCGAGGCTGCTGAAGGTGTTGATTGTTCTTATCAGCCCACTCCGTCCTCTTGGCCGCGATTTCACTGGTACTGAAAAGAGAAGCTTCGGCATTTCTACTCCCTCCTTTTAATAGTCGTACATTCCATGGAGGCAGGGTAGGCATCGATTCATCAAAACTAGTAATGGATGTTTGTGAGGTTGAGAGAAGGACTTTAGCATCGCGCCATGTTTCCGATGTCATATTCTTTAATTCTGCCGCGTATTCGAGTACGCCGGTACTGCTTAACGTATTGAGGCTGAGATCATAGCGTGGAGACCAGGATACTTCATAGGTGATGTAAGAGATTGAGAGGCTAATAATATCTGTAGCTCGACGACTAGATACTTGGTAGTTATTGACGGTCATGTCACTGGCTACCGAGCTAGGACGAGATGATCCAGATGTCATCGCAGAACTCGTAGGTTCAATACTGATTGTGACACGATAAACTTTCTTTGGCCAGAACAAACTTCGTTCAGATTTGATTCGCAGTTTCTCCTTTGTTGACTCGGCATTCTTCCGAGACTTGGTTGCTTGAAGCTTGATCCTTTGCTTGAATGCTTTTCGTTGAGCCTTCGTTCGTGCTTTTGATAATTTATTTTTCTCTTTCACCAATCTGACAATTTCGTCCTGTGTGACTTCCAAGGCAGCAGTTGCAGCTACGTGCTCAACATAAATTTTCTCACGTTCATCTCGATATGCTTTGATGAGTTTCTCGAATTGTTCGGGTGAAGGAGGATTATCACGAACGGTAGCTCCATAATCCTCACAAATCTTTAAACGACTCGCAACAGAATTGATCTTTTCGGTTTCCTGAGATAGCAAACGATTCACCTGCTTGATCTTGATATCGACGAGTTTCATGGACTCATCCTCAGAATCGGAGGAATCATCATCAGTTTCTTCCTCCAGCTCGGAGTCAGATGAATAAACTTCTTCGTAAACCTCACGATTCGGGAGAAGATCAACAGATACTTCGGTGATGGTAGCTGAACCATTTCCTTCAACTTTGATGGAATGTTCGTCAATAGTTGGAGCAAGTCCATCAATGATAATTTGGTTAGTTCCAGTCTAACATCCGTTAGTATGAAATGAAGATTTACGGTTAATATTTGATTTCCTTACCTGCAATGTGATGTCTCTGATGTCACGAATAATTTGAGCTCTAGTTGGAAAGATCAGAACACTTCGAGTGCTCAAATCCCGAACACGAAATTCTTGTTTGTTTGACATTTTTGCCCAATTTCTTAGGTTTGTCGCAAGGTTAGATTAGATGTGTGAGTTGGCAATTGTGAACCAGTCGTGAAGTGGGGATTTCGCTGGGCATTCAGCTACAGAAACTTCTTCTCGATAATAAGCAGAAATACAGTAGAGAGACGATTTAGAAACAATATTATGGTGAAGAGTTAGAGATGAATTTTAAGGAAGATGAAAGAAATGAGAAAGCTGCTTCAAATCCTTATATTTCTTTCTGTTATTGCCCGACACCCGACACAACAATTTTGACGTCCGATGTTCTATCAGTGGATGTCAGGCAACTGAGAGCTTTTACCTTATTGCCCCGCATATTGCCGCAGATTGAGAAGTTGAGGTTTTCAAATAGCCAATCACCAGTAATAGATCACATTGGAAAAAGCGGCTTATGTTCCACCGAAGCAATACGAACAAGGAATTGAAGTAAAAATGAAAATCTAAGACAGAAATGGTATGAGTTTTGATTGAGTCATGTTGAATTTGGATGATGGGCATGAATGAATGGATACCAGCTAATATTTGGGTACAAGAACTGTGATAGTTTTTACTCGAGTATATATATATGAAGTAGTAAGAAGATGAAAAAGGGGTCGAAGGGGACAATTGAAAGGGAAAAGCGGAAAAGCGGTGGCCGTGTACATAGTAAAAAGGGAGGTGTGTGTTTGTTGTTTTGTAGCGAGTGACAATGCTTTTGGAAGGCGGTGAGGTATTCCATTATGGCAGAATTTCTTACTCATTCTATTCAATTCATGTTTTCTTCATCCATGATATCAAGCCAAATCATCGAATGAAATATGGTGGGATATCTATGTTTGGTTTACCATGTCATCACTGTTGATTTATAATAATCGATCAGCCACAAGATACAAGTTTATAAGCAGGTACATTTCTAAGCAGTATGTGTACCAAGCACTTGAGTTTTAAATCAATCACTTTTTTGCATCTACTGCTAGAATTTGAAGAAGTCTCTCAGATATATACATATATATCTTTCACATCAAATACCTTCCGCAAGTCATCATGTCAAAAATCGTACTCATTCTTGGAGCTGGATCTAATATCGGACTCAACGTAGCCCGCGTTTTCTCATCGAAAGGGTCATACAAGACTGTTATTGTATCGCGAAATCCTAAAGAAGAGCTCATTAAGGTGGCTGATCTATCCCATCCAAGTCAATTTCAATGACCCCACAAGTATCAAAGGTATCTTCGATGAAGTGAAACAGAAATTTGGAGTTCCAAATGTGGTAGTATATAATGGTTTGTCTCTTCCTCTTGATCCAAGTCTTCCGTTCATACTGAGGTCTGACAATGAGAGGGGTCTGATTGTTTGTATTGATTTCATATAATGAATTCATTTGGGATATTGAGCAGACTATTGGACACCCGGTTTTAGGCCAATGATGACACACTGACGAATGCAATAGCTGCTGCATTCACTGTGACTCCCGATCTTCTCTATGTTCCCCTCGACAAGTTCAACGAAGATCTCAATGTAAATGTTACTTCAGCATATGCCGCTGCTCATGAGGCTGTAGAAGGATTCAAAACTCTTCCCGAGGACGTCATAAGGACATTCATCTATACCGGCAACGTACTTAATCGTCAAATCATCCCATCATTGCTTGCACCTGGTATCGGAAAAGCAGGTGCAGCTCACCTTATTCAAAGTGCCTCGGAAGTGTATAAGAAGGATGAGTACAGGTATGTGAAGATGAGAAGGAACTTTGAATGTAAATTGACATGAATCATAGATTCCATTGGGCAGACGAAAGAACGGTAGAGGGAGGACCAAGGGGAGGCACAATCGATGGTGAATCCCATGGCGAATTCTACTATGAATTGGCAACGAGTGTGAAGCCTTTGACTTGGGATGCCACTTTTGTGGCTGGAAAGGGTTATGTTGACTTCAACGGCAAATGAGATTGGCCTCCTTAGCTTTTTCAGTATTAGCAACAAGAGAATCGAAAGTTGTTTTAATCCTCAACAACTTTTTAGCAATCAATCAGATATCATGTTCCAATAGATAATACATATTATTCACCTATATGATCATCAAACCATGATATATTTGATATCAAAAGAAAGGCTTGGGTGAATATGATTGCGTGTGCTGCCCAAATATGGCCCAGTTGTAACAAATTTCTATTTTACAACTTCTGTAGGGTCTTCAGGCTTACAGCTTAGGGTCGCGAAACGTTATATAGTGATACTGGTTGACACACCACTTTTCTCACGAGTAATTGAGCAACCATCCGCAGCATGAAGTGAACAGTAAGAAGAACCGTTTTCAGTTAAGCAACAATTCATTCTCGAAAACCCGATCAAACAATTAACAAAACATGCCAATATGCAAGCTACGGCGCACGTGCTCGAATATGTCAAAAGGGGGGGGGGGTGTCACGTGATAATATAGATAGACCTCACTGAAAGCTTTTAGACGAAGTCAAGAAAACAAGATGGCACGCTGTTTGAGGTGAATAGACACCGGCCAAGCGTTATATATCTCCATATGATATTTGGCAGATGATAAGCGCGCCATTGTTGATATTCAATATTTGATTGTCGGTTTCCTTCCATGGACTATGATGGAATAGGCGCAAGCAGGATATCGACAAAAAGCATCATTTGATTGATCGGATTTCGAGGGAACTCAAGAGATCTATCAGCAAGCCTCCTTTCGAGGTTTTTTTGCGTATCCTTTGTCGATAATCCTTCAAATCCAAAACCAAGCCACACTCATCTCCTGGAGGTTCTGCATCTCTGGAAGGATCAGATAATGGAAAGTCAAGTCCGCCAGCAAATACAACCCGTCACATAAAACAGAGTGGATCGCATATCTCCCACTATCATATTTCTCTATAATTAGAACCATGTGTCGAATGCAACAATACTTCTTAAAAGTCGTCGAATTAAAAACCGCACCATTGATCTCAACTCGACCCGAGGGACACACTCGCTATATCTTCTGGATATTTTCTGTGGATTTGATCTATTCATCCTGCCGACCTGAATTCTCGAGAACAGCTGGAACCAATTATTTCTACATCACACATCACTGGTCGTGTTTGGAGGTTAACGGCCACTCTTTTTTAAAGATACTTTCTTTCGTCATCCACATATTCTGGAACACTTCCTTACTGCATTGATGTTGCCATGTTGCGATTCTTTCTCACACATCAACCACATCAACAGTGCCTTTACATTGATTTACTTGAATCAAGGACCCCTTACTTCTACGCTCTTTTGTTCTTTAGACACCATCCCCTGCAGACTCTCCTTATCAACTCTCAGGAAATCACATGGTTTATACCATACTTGCTTGTCTTGCAGATAGTCAGATTCAAGTGCCCCTTCGAGATTTCTCTTCTCTCGACCGTTAAACCTACACGCGATCTTATGATTAGCCCGAAATGTTTTCCCATACCACAAGACACATACGCGGTGGTGGTTCTCTTTGAGAAACAGACAATCATGTTAGTCGTTTTCAGATCTCCACTGTGTCAGCTCAATGTTAGCCAAAATATATTCCGGTAGATGAAGTCATGTCAAGTGTCATTGAATTTGAAGATACTTTGCAGTGCGTGGTACTCCGTGATTACTCGTCACTGAAATTTCCGAAGAAAACCATGCAGCAGCTCCGATGTGTTATGGCCATGGCATTGATCCTTATCTGTATAGAGTGCAGAGAGTTCTCTTTGACTGATACACTTAATGTGCGCTCTGTTTTGACGATGCTACTATTTACGACTTCGTGTCCATGTTTCTATTCCATCATTATAAGAAATTAGGAATTCCCGTCAAGTTTTCGGCTTGAGACCCATCTGCTACCTCTTCGAGCACGAGAGATGCGAGACGGCAATAACTTCTGGTTATTCCTCATGTTTCTGTGACTCACTTCATAGGAGTATATGTTAGTCGATGGAGCAGTTTCTCAATCTTCCCGAAATCAAACGATATGGAGAGCAATTGCTCATAATGATCGAAGTTCGAGTGACTGTTCACTAAAATCCCAATCATGAAATTTGTCCGAATATATCTTCTTGCTTCTCCTAGAGCTGCGATCATCGTGATTTGTACAATCACCGTATATGGCAAGGCCGAGTACGGTGCTCCCTCAAGCACGTTCCACCTCGTATGTTCTTGTGGAAGAGGGATTGAGTACACATCACCTGCTTTGTTTGTCGCAATGGATTCTAGTTTTATTCTGGTTGTTTGGATCTCCGAGTGGCACTTCCTTCTGGATTATAGAGCTGTGCAAATATTCGATACGGCTTTTGAGTTGCTGCCACAGTCTGTCGCGGGTCTTCATTTTGTGATTTGCGAAAGTAAGTTGCTCACACACTTCGTTGCGCTGTTACCTTTGCATCAACATAAAACCAGAGCATCTTACCTAGTGCTTAGTTCACGTCGAGGCCCTAGTTAGCTTCACCCATTTATGCTCAAGTCGATTTTCTCGATTGATAGTATCAAGAATGACGTACCAGGACTATTCGGCTATATGTCGAAGTCGTTAATTGCAGCGAATGCCTGTATTTGTAATGCCATATATTTCAGAGTTTAGGTTTCTTTAATCCAGATTGTAATTCCAATGTGGCTAGTTTACAACGATGTGCGCATCAAATCATGGTATCCAACACTCATCCAACTCCTATCTTTCGTCAAACCACATCGTTTCGTAAAACCTAGATGTGCGGGTATCGTAATTCCAACCTAAAGATAAATTCTCCAATTCAACACCTCAGCGCCAGTAATCCATTCGCTGTTCGTCATGCTGCAGTTTCCTTTGCATTCTCCAATTGCCTAAACTCCAGCAATATTTCAAAAATCAAATGGCCGTGCCTGCCAAGTCCATCCGTCAACCTCGAACCTCGAACTTCTAACTTCCAACTTCCAACAGGTCTTCCATGAATTGTGTCATATTCATGGGCTAGATTGGCCAGTGACCCAGCGGTGTTCAAGACACTTCTCGGCTGTCCACCTTTCGTTGAGGTTGGTTTTCAACATTCCCGCCATCAACTCTTCCGGCTCTTTACTGATATCCGGATAACCCTGACTCGGAGCGTCGACGAAGATTCCATTTTTGATGTTTATATGCATCTGTCTGGTAATTTCCTCTTCGTCATCCTCTTCCTCTTCCTCTTCCTCTTCCTCTTCGTCTTCCTCTTCGTCTTCGACAAATTCTTTTCTAAAAGGGTGGTACTCCTTCAAGCACTCAAAAAGGAGCACCCCTGCCGCCCAGATATCAGCCTCGAGACCTACACCAATTGACTTGGCGTCCTCCGCGATTCATTCTGGCGCGAGATCTTGATAAGTTAGCAATTGTCCTAGTATCAAGTATGGCATACTATTTGAGACCAATGAATACGGAACCACGCGACAAGGGATATGATTTCCGTTTCAACAATGATTGAATGAATCTAAATTTTAGATCTACTAAGATCGCCAATATCCTCTTAAACTCCACAACTGTCCAAACATCGAATACTTTTAAATATGGAATGCATTTACGAATGGTTAGATACGATGGAATGGAAGAACCTACAACCACCAGTCCCCACCCTATGATACAATTAGCACATGGATCCCAATTCAAGTGGATAGTTTATGCGGCATATTATACGTACTGTGTATCTTTACGAACCCTTTGACCATCTACCATCTTCTGCGAAAAGCCAAAATCTGCAATCTTCATATGTCCATCGTATCCAAGGATCATATTGTGTGGCTTTATGTCCCGATGGAATATGTCTTTGGACTTCTGTTGATAACATTAGCAATCTTCATCCCCTTTTGTTCAAGGGTGGGCGATTTCAAGTTCGCGATCGCTACCTACCAAATGTTGAAGCCCGAGGAGCACATCTCGAAGGTAGCCCTTCATCACAGCTTCGTCGATGTGCAAGATGTGTTCTTTGTCTGCATCATCGTACTCTTCTGCCTGATCTTCCAACATATCCTGCATACTCTTCTTTCCCAACTCCATAACCATTCCACTATGAGGGTCATCGTTTTTCTGGCCCTCATAGTAGTTGAACACCCGAATAATCGATGGGTGGGTCAGATCTCGTTGCAATTTCCATTCATCTTGCAACTCCGAATTCATGGCACCATCCTTATCCCTCTTGATGGCGAACTTCTCCCCAGTGCTTATCTCTTGGATGGAATCCATTTCTCCAAAAGAACCAGCGGACAACATTCCTATCTTTGTGTATTTATTGAGGAAGAGGTCCGAAGACAAGACACAACCCAAGTTGGAAGGAGTTGACGGCAGAGGAGATTGGATGTTGACTCTTTTAGAAGGAGGATAAGAGTTTCGACTCGACAATTTTCTCCTTTTGTACGTCGAGTTCGAATTCTCCGAGTCGACAGATCCGGACGCACCACTGTCTATAACATCAAGGTCAGTGATTTCCTCTCGAAGAGAGTTCTTGAAGGGAAATAAAATATGCAGGAGATGAATTATCATCGACACGAAGTTGAACTTTTGGGAGGGTGCTATGAACGAATGAATGGATGAGAGTTGAAACTTACCACTGCTCCCTATCGAATTCGGTGATGTGGGGGATGTAGAGACGTTTTGAGCGTCAATGACTCCTTGTGTTGAAGGAGTTTGGGATGAGCACATATCTGGAATCATAGCTGGAGTCATAGCTGTAGTCATGTTTGAATATATGTACTTATAGACAAATTTCAGCGGAGAAAGGTATATAGTCGTTGTCGAATAAGTACGTGTCTGCGATTATCTGTATGATTTTTCTAAGTGAGAGGGGTTCTTATAAAGAACCTTGAACAGTGAGTAATTAAAGTTTCAACGTTTTTTTTTGGTTTTCGAGTCATCCGATTGGTTTAGAGCAGATAAACAACCTTTTGATGATGGGTAAACTACTATTCGGGTTATTTTAATGCCTGCCTAACTCAATATAGAGTGTACTAGTATTGATAGCCGGAGGATGCTGTCATCCATTATTCACAAGAGGACTTAGTGGTCGAGGTGGACCTATTTAAGTAGAGATCGCCCATGAATCTTGGTTTTCCTTCGTTAGTGCTCCCCTCATCTTCCTTTCCTTGCCTATCCTGCTTCTAACAGATGAAATATCGCACGCACTCTTTTCTATCCTTAGAGTTAGGATAGAAGAGGAGGGTAAATGGCTTTTATGAAGGGGGGGGATCATCTTTTTGAGGTAGTAAATGATGTATATACATTTCTTTATTGTAATAACAAACGTGTATAGCATTTTAAGCATATTCTTCGGCACTCCTTCCTACTCCTAATAAAAATATAAAGCTGTTCCTTTCCTATCCATATCTAACCTCATTCTTAATTACTCCTCTCCACTCCTTCCTGTTCCTAACCCTAGGCGTCAGCGAACCTATCCCTTCCTGCATAGTAGGATAGGATAGAAGGGCAAATCAAGATCACTGGAGATCGCGCATACTTTAAATTGTACTTCCTATACTATACATCCATGTGAGAGCTCTAATTCCAATCCGCTGAAGTCATGTTACAGTTTGTATATCGAGGATTTAACTGGCAAGGCAAGTGCAGAGGAGTAGGAAATTTGCCTTCCCTCGCCCTCGCTCCAAAGCTATTGCCGTTCCAAAATCTTGATATCCCAATTGATCATGCTAGAATTATCAGGGCGCCATCGAAGCTCTAGGCCTTAATTTTAGCAACGATTTAGTCTCCACAAAGCGTAGTAGTGTCACCACTAGTTTGGAGTATTCGGCCTAGCTTGAAAGTGTAAACTAGATCTTCACTCGATTATCCATACAGTAAATCACACCGAGGACATTTTGAGGACTCTTTACAGTTTGAAAAATTCTTAGTTAGAAATTTTAGTACATACTTAAATTTGATTAGCTAGGAAATATGCGTCGCTTTTTATACTTCTTTTATTAGAGTCACTACCAGAGTGTCGACGGGATCGGTCAACCATCAAACCTTTTAGGAGATCTTCAATCATTTTTCCTATCTACTTTGCGCATTGCCCGGGGTACTTAACGTCCTTCTCTCCATGTCAATTGATGCGAAGGCTGCATTGTCTATTCAAGAAGCTTCACCACAATAAGCTGCAAAGTATTAAGATATGAGTTTTTTATCTGGTTTGGCTCAATACCGAATGAAGTATGTCATTCCAAATGAAGAGCCACTTCAAGTTTCGACCACGAAAGCCTAGATATATACATACATCATGTATAATTGAAACATGTGCCAGTGATAGATTTAAAAGCTCCTAGTCAGAAATTCTAGTGACTTGAATTTGGTTGGTAATTATACTTATAAACAGGCGACAGTTTTATGCTTTACACGTGAATGGAATTGCTACTGGGAATGGCGACAAGTATATGATATTTGTATGATTATAATTAAATAGGAAGACTATAGATAAGAATGTGACAAGTCTCTGGAAAAAATTATACAAGTAGAAGATTATATAGGGAACGAAAATATCGCAATGTTTTCGTATCAAATAGTACACCACCAGACTTCCCGAAGCACTGCATCTATATTTCACTGATGCGACTTCCACCACTTCCATCTTTCAATGCTCTGAGCAACTAAAGAACATCTTATGTCTAGTCTAGAGGTGATGCCTGTCTCTCCCCCGATGAGAATGTCATGCCAACGCAATGCTAACAGCACTTTTTGACATCTTCGTCAATTGAGTCTGTGATTGAAGAAGATAGGAACACTATTAGTGACACAATGGGACACAGTCCAAGGTTCGTAGATCGTGTTCAACTCGATCTCTTGACTCGAAGAAAAGGATGTTGAGATCATTTGGGAGGATGTGGCGTGGAAGTAGGCAGAGATACCTGTGAATTCAGGTATCTCTCACTGGGGTCGGTTGATGGTCTCGAAGAGATATTCGTTGCTAATACGGATTTCATAGATGCGGATGAGAGTCTATATAGACCTTTGGTGTATTGGTATACTAAAAGAGCTATATGAAAGAATCGAATGTTGACGCTGTGCACATAAATGTGTAACTCGCAATCTCGTATGCCATTGAAATTCGAAGACAAGGGAAGCCACAATGGAGTAAGCTGTCATAGTGGGCACATAAGGCTGACAATGTTTCTTTGATGGCAAGGTCAAGTTTGAGAATATGAAAATAGTATATCAGGTTGATAGATTCCAAGTCTACCAGTGGCCCTATGCAGATCGCTTTTGAGATAGGGATACCCTCTGGGTCGACCATTAGAGGGTAAATTTCGATCCCGATAGCTCGTACTCGGATTTGAACGTGCATAAGTGAGGCATTCCGAACTTCCAATCAGACGTGGAGATGTTCTGGCCTCTTCAACCTTCTTTTCTTCTACTACTGCCGTCATTAATGCGAGAATTGCTGGATCGTTCACAGAATCATGGGGTCTGACTGGTAGTACGGAAGTCCCTTTCGAGGAGCTCTTTTGTGATTCATGGCCGAGATAAGACGAATTCGAAGAAGTATTTCGTACCCAATTTGCCACTCTAGATTCTAGCTTTTCGGATTGCCGTGGTGGAGGGTTAGAGCTGATCGAGATACCCTTCCCGCCGGTCTTTGTAATATCATTCGATAATATTGTCGGAGGACAGCGAGAGCGGATAGCCGTGACGGGATTGACATCAGGAGCCGGCATTCGAATAATCTCGGGCGAGATTCGCTTGTCAATACTATTTACCTTGTCATGTTTTTGGATTTCTGGTAAATTTGGCATGCCGGGTATGAATATTGGAGGAGGCCTGAAGCTTTTCATTTGTCGAGAGTTCTGCTTCCAGTCGGGAGAAATGTTGCCTTCGGATCTCGTACTGTGTGGATGGATCCCAGAGTTATTGTCAATTGCAGTTCTTCGTGATCCTATGCGGGCTTCCGAGTGACGAGGATGAGAATAAACAGAGAAACTCTCTGGCGGGGTTTTATTTCTTGCAGATGCTGCATTGACTTTATTATTTTGTCTTAGGGAGTGGTGTAGCACGACAGTGACTTCAGCTGCTTCCTCGCCCGGGTTGACCGGATCGAGTGTTTCAAGCCAAGCTGCGAGTATGTCCATCTCCTGCTCATTCAGTTGGCGCGTGTATAATCGAGTGTTTCGAAGTAGGTGAGACGTCATTTTCGCACCCGATGTAAAAGATTCAGGTTGATTTGAGAATTTAGTTCTACAATTTGCACATCATTAGTTGATGTAATACGGACAACTTGTAGGGTGGTAAGTAGAAAAGACATACGATCTTGCGCAACAGTGTGTTCTCTTAGACTCTTACGGTATCTTGTAAAGATTGAGTAGTGATCTGATGAGCTCGAATTATTCCTGTTCCTGTCATACTTGCAAGTCTGGGAAGCTTTGGTTTAAGAAGTTTCTTCCTTCATGGTTATATCTTGTATGTATACATCTCTTTGCCGAATTACAGGACACACGTTGTGTCCATGGAGTTGATCCGACCCAGTTGAAGGCTATATGGTATTTGATAGGTTCATTGATATGTCCTTGACATCAGTTTGTACTCTACCAGCGCTTAAGATTATGTATGATAGGGACAACATAACGATAGATGAAACACCGAAAGAAATCTTAGCAAGAACCAGACACGTCTGTTGCATATAGTTAAATTTACCGCCCGGGAATAAGTCCAAATGCGAGAAGATCACAAATCCATATGCAAGAGAATTCAGAATCAACTTTTAGAGCCCAATTTCTGTTGTCACTGGGACGTTCCTGGGCATCCGAAAAGCAGTAAAGCGCTTATCAGATTCCGACAGCTTGGTTTGGAGGGATTAATCCTCCAATGATTGTGGGGGTTGAAATCAGGATTGACTAGTTGACTAGGGAGACTTACAAGAAGAGTACCGGTACTGGTATTCATTGGTGATTCAAGAAGGTTAAGATGAGACAATACAATAAAAGTTGAGAAAAAGTGGTCAGTTATTAGAGCCAGATAAAACAGCTACAGTATGGTTTATGTTCAGAAGTTGTGATTCGTTGTTTCTACGATGAGGTTACCCCGAAGTAGTAGGTGTAAAGAAAGAGAACCCGACAGATTGGTAGCGAGACGTTTGATCTTGGGTTACAGAACCAATCAAAATTGCAACAGCTCATAACCTCACGAGAAAATGGTATGGATGGGCCGGACTCTGAGTAATCTCGAGTCAGACATGTTATAGCCTAACGCTGTCTCTAAGTCATTAACGCCATGTATGCATGTTTGGAGTTACGAGGGGGGAAATAATCCCAAGCATGCGCAAAGCAGTCCGAATTGACACAACTGGAGCAATTCAAATGACTGCGTCGTTGACGTTTGTATTTCTCATGAGGTGGGTATGAGATGGCTTGGGAATAATTTAGCTATGAGGGTTGAGCTAGCACAAGCGGGACGGTACAAGTGAGGTTTGAAGGAAATGATATACTGATATACCTACTGTCAAGAAAGGTTGGCTTTAATTCGAATAAAGATATTGATTGATGCATGACCATTCTTCCGATCAAATCATAAATGCCCAACGCTCGGTGTTATACAGCAGCCCCACCCCCTTTTGAACCGAATGGATACTTTCCAGACTCAGACTCCAGACTCCAGACTCCACGCTCAAACTCCTATGAAAACCACAAATAAATGTCCGTTATTTAAACGATCCCCAAGCCCACATTTCCACTCCCAAGATCTGTCTTCTCGTATCACCGATGTACTGGCCGCATTCATTGCTTTATCTCAAAAAATGTAAGACAGCCCAACAGAAGGCGAAAAATATAATTACCCCAATTCCAAATATCCACTTATCCTGCTTCGCACGTCTCTCAACCATTCGAATAGTATCACCAGATACACCCAAAGTGTTTGCGACACTATATAATCTCTTCTGTGTCCCTTTTAACATATCTCGCTGTTGTCCTAGATCACCTAATACCGCTTGCCCACGAGCCAAGTATTCGTCCAATGCACTATGCGTATTCTGAAAGAAGGATTGTTCTCTTAGAGCATGTGTTTCCCTCGTATAATCTCCACTATTCATAGAAAGTTGACTAACACTTCCACCGGGTCCACCTTCTCTTCTCCATGGACTATCTCGAGCAGCAGTCGCACTTGATGTATTTGCATATGGATTTTCGGGTGTCGATGCATGATGTGGTCTCCTTCCAAGCAGTTCGCCTCTATCTATTTGAGTTTGATTGTCTTCATTCTGCGACTTGAGTGTTGCAAACTGAGAGCGATAATCTTGTAGTTCAGATCGGAATGTTATCAGTCGTTCATGAGCTTTTTCCTTTTTGGATGGATTCAGTTCGGTAGATTGAAGGGAAGCGTAAGATTCAAGAGTTCGTGAGAAGGAGGTGAGAGATGAGGATATTTGACCAAGGAGAGATGGTGTGAGGGATTGTGATTCGGGTGGAGAAAGAGAGGAGAGATCTCGACGGAGGGAGGTTGATTGTTTGAGTGCGGTATTGAATAATGTGTTCTATCAAGGTTAGGTTAAGGGTTTGAAAGTGCATTTGAGGGGAACAAACCATGATGCAGTCTTGTTGATTGAAAGAAGTAGAAAATGACTGAGGATTTACTGATTGGAAGAAGAAGTTCCTTTTTGAAATTACTCGTAAATCGAATGAGAGTATCTTGTTGATTCAATATGTAGCCTTGTTTTAAAGCTCAACGTGGCTAACTTGATTATTTAATGTGGCGTTGTGATAGGTACATCTGATATGTGGCTAGTTTGATGAGGCTGAAGACAAGGCTAGAGATAATTAATGATTAACCGATAACCGGTACTTAGCCTGTAAGATTATCAGATGAGATTCATTGATAGACTAATAGGAGGTCATAACTCCGTAGATCCCTCATCATTCAGATGAATGTCCTAACTTGGTATAATTGAGGTTATCCGCACAACACATCTATTGCTGGCGACGATGGATAATTTTTCAAATAAATGTTTCACATCTGCAGCCTTGAAAGGAAATACGAAAAACGATCAATGCACGGATTCCATACCTCGGTCCCCACAAAGCGCATGTCATTTCAACATTCCAAGCTTTCCAAGCTCTTCATTCTCATTTCTGATCACTTCATTGGTTTAAATCAGATCAATTGTATATATCAAATCCCACACATTTGATTGATTTCTCCCACCATATTAAGTACAAACGACAAACAACTGAGCACAGCACAACGGAAAGAAGATGATATATTAATGAGGAAAATGGAAATTGAAAAGTTTATACATTTCCCACATTCATTCACAACTTCCTCACAAGTTGAGCCCTACACTTATGTACCTTCTCCCATTCTACAACTCATAGGTAAGACTTAAACCTCAAAGATCTCGTACGTATGTACCTTCCTTGAATTCAAGATAAAAGAGAAGAAACATTTGATTCAATTGACTTAAATCTCTCATCTACAACATTTCACATCCATCTCACATCTCAACATCCCCATCCTCTCGCTATCTCATTCCTAAATATTGTATTAATTGCAGAATCATTCTTACAGCCCTCAAACTATCATTTGATTGTACCGCAAAGAATAGGAACATTCTTATTTGTGCCTAATTTACCTCGTCATTCTTCTTCCTTGGGATAGAGGGGTAACAGACGTAGGACGAATTACTTATTACAGAGATCAGAAAGCTCGCAGACCTGTCACATCCTATCACCAAACGAGTGAATAAATCAGCTCCCGCGCAACACAAAAGCTCTACTTGTGGGTAGTCATTGAACTTATATTGTACAACGTCGTATACAAATCTTGAGCAGTTTAAGCCAAGAAGTGGTACTTGAGTGGGCTGGATCTGAAACTTGCGATACAGGTCGCCGCAGATTGTATATTCAGACCTTTTCCTTGGAGAGAATATACATACTGACATATTCAACTAGAGCGTCTCCCTCAATCTTTAAAAACAAGATGACGTTTCTTTCCACAACTTATCTCCTTCCCGGAATATTACTCAACCCTGCGTTTGTCCTACATCTCATGAATACCTTCATCTCACACCTCTTACCACCTCCTCCAACCATGTCAAAATCTCCACATCCAATCTTCGAAAGTCTCGGGCCATTACCAGGAACGCAATGGGCATTTGATGTGCATGAGGACGATGCACTATGTTGGAGATATACTGCTGCCATGGTTATTATACAGGTGTGGATATTCGGACGGGTTAATGGTAATAGAGTTTCGATGAAAAATGCAAAAGCTGTCAGAGCAGAGAGGGAACGAGTACGAAAGGAACGAAGTGCTATCATTGAGGTCGAACCAACATCTGCGAAATCAACAAATGGGCTCGATGGCATATATGAAGTAGAGAATGGCAGATTTGAAAAGGCAGATTTCCTTGAACGGCATAACGAAATAATGGAAGCTAGTGATGGGAGTACGACGGAAACGAGCGAAGAAGAGATCATTGTTTAATGATGAGGAATTTCACGAACATGACTGGTGTGGCGTTTTAAGGAGGGTCATTTATAGATCGAAATTGCAAAACGAAGCACAACTATTGGATTGGTAGAAATGATTGCTATGACGGTTTGGTGTTATCGGTATAGGGTATGAAGAAATATTCATTGGGGAGTTTCATGGAGCAGATACCTAAAGAATAAAGCATGAGCTTATCGCGTTCGAGTTTATACTGGTCTTATGTTTTCTGGTGCGATTATCTGCATAAGTAATCAACAGGATGGACGTATCAGCTGCTGGATATGCTCGTATGCCATGCAAGATCCGGATGAACCTACTGCTCGAAGATGTCTACGAGTGAGTGCAATGGCTAGAAGAGGATTTCAATTTTCTTTTTGCCTACGTATGGTGGTATTTGGAGCTACACTCAGGATGTTGATCAGTGTCAATCGGTCCAGAGACAAGAGTTGACTCGTTGATAGATGAGGATGAAGGTTTGAGTGATGACGAGACGGATTGGTTCTTTCAAACAAGTGTTTTGATACTACTATATGACTTCTACTATGATCAATGCTGGCCCAAAGGATTAAGTCGTCAACATTGTGCCAAATAGTCATATTCATGGTACCGCACGATATAGATTTTCATTACTTAGCACAGCAAGGCGATTTGATAGTAACACAATTTTTGAATAGGAAGAAATAATTATGTGCTCAAAACACCCCCTGAAAGGAGGTCAGTTAGGGATCATGTGATAGCTGCAGTAATTGCAGAAGAACGCAGGGTGTAATCAATATAAGAGCATCACAGTATTATGTTGTGAAGAAGAGAATCGAGGAGTTGCGCAAACCATTACAGTGGGTAGTAGTCTTCTTGTCTCCTTGGACTTTGAAAGCATTATTCGGATACAGCTGAGTATTGTAAAGAAGTATCCTTTAGAATCATTTATCAAATCCTTATATTGTTCAAAAGGATTTAAGAATATCAAAACATTCTTCTCTGGATTCTTTTATCAAATCTTATCAATGTTTGAAAACAATTGAAACATCTCGAAGGTTTATTCTCTAATATTCTTTAAATGTTATATCAATCCTTGATTTCCCAGATAAATTTGGTCTCTTCTGCAATTTTTTTTTCGGAATGAGAGAGCCTTAATGAAGCTACCATTTTCATTAATTACCAACCATCCCTTTCGTACCCTACCTTGGCAATTATGCACAATTAAGGACGCATTCAGTCGTTATGAATAGCCTATTACTGTCTTGGCGCCCTCATTGTGAAGCATCGGTATGCTCAGACCGTATTCTTCTTCGCAGGGAAAAGAATTTTGGGCATGGGTGATACATTTTGCTGGTTGCCTTGTTGACCTTTGGTATCGAAGACCTCTTCGGAGTATGTCCTTACATATTTATCCCCCAAATGTCAGATGTATTCAAATTCAGTCAGTATATTGGTACTTTGATTTTATCGAATTATTCTGCCTGCTTTATCTGTATTCTGCCTGCTATGTCTGCTATATCTGCTTAATCACAGTCGGGATTGCGGACAGCAGAGTTGAATTTACCCACATTTATCCAAAGAGCCTTGATATTGCCATCATTTCAACTTAGTTCCTACCACTCTCATAATATACCCATCAATCTTTTGAAAAGAGTAAGCTTCAATCTTCCAAATACATTGCGGAGTGCATGATTGGCACTGTATTCCAAGATTATCATATCTTGTGACTATCTAGCTTTAAAATGGTTACCGTCGATAATTCTTAGAAGCGGGGAATATGTATAATAACCTATATTCAATTACGTTCGAACAAATGGACTGGCTAAATGGCCATTCAAATTTATTTATCGTTGAATTAGGTATCATTCCAGTATAGATATGGGGGATATATCGCCTCGGGCCACAGCTTCTGCCGTGTATAAAGTAAGACATGTCCGCGATCAAGTCGATCATCCATCATCAAACATTTGAAACTCAGATTCTTCACTATCGTCTTCTTCACGGACATAATCTACTTCCTTCAAGGTCATCATGGTATCATTGAAAGCTTTTTTGATTACATTCACCGCTGTGGCGACGGTCTCGGCATACCCTGCCAATTCGAGTTTTGAACTCGTTGATCGAAGTGGGACACCTAGCTCCACTGGAACAAGTGGTACGGTATTTCTCTAACCTCGAGCGATTATATCATCCACTAACTTTCTCAACCAGGTGGATATTATTACTCTTTCTGGACAGATGGTGGTGCAGCTGTCACTTACACAAATGGTGCCGGCGGTGAATACAATGTTCAGTGGTCAGGAAATGGAAACTTTGTTGGTGGAAAGGGCTGGAATCCTGGAAGTGCCTTGTCAGTCCAGAATTCTTTTGATTTCACCCCACCATCCATTGCTATCTTGAATACTGACGATTATTCCATCCACCTACAGGGCCGTTACCTATGGTGGCACATATAGCCCAAATGGAAACAGTTACCTTTCCCTTTATGGTTGGACTACATCACCTCTCATCGAATACTATATTGTCGAAAATTTCGGTACATACAATCCAAGCACTGGAGCTACTCTTAAGGGTACTGTTGTTAGTGATGGGGCTACCTGTAAGTTGGTGTTGTATTTCAAAATTTTAAGTTTTGGAGTGTGCATTCATTATTTCAAGGAGTCATCAGAAATTTCTGATCTAGACTGCGATCTTGACAATGGATTTGTGGTTTTACAAACTACTCTCTCAGTCCACTCTGTTCTTACTACCTCATGATCTTTCTATATTTTTCTTCTTTTATTCCTCCAATTTACATATCATACTCTTCTCCACACGGTATTCGTTTGGTTTCTTGGTACTTTACAGTCCTAATAACTCATTAACCTGAAGTCTGGGACTCGTAACGGGTGGATATAACTTACTGCATAAATGACTGACACATCTCACTCTCAGATAACATATACCAAACACAACGTGTGAATCAACCATCCATTATTGGTACTGCCACCTTCTATCAATATTGGTCTGTTAGACAATCCAAACGAACTGGTGGTACTGTAACAACCGGAAATCACTTCAATGCATGGAAAGCTCTCGGAATGAATATGGGTAGTTTCAATTACCTGATAGTCGCAACCGAAGGATACTTTTCCAGTGGATCGGCCGATATAACTGTTGGAGGTTCAAGTGGAGGTGGAGGTGGAGGTGGAGGTGGTAATCCTGTAACCACTACCACAAGTGGTAGTACACCTACGTCACCACCGAGCGGTAGCGTAAGTTTTGCTTCGTTCCGTTATGATTGACTTGCGTAGACTCTTAAACTGACACGTAATTTCATCTAGTGCGGTGCTTTGTATAGTCAATGTGGCGGTATTGGATTCAACGGTTCCACATGCTGTGCCTCTGGAACTTGTAAATTTTTCAGCTCATATTATTCTCAATGCTTGTGAGATTTTCTTTTATAGTTTTATTTCAAAATCATTAGTATTATTGGATATGATATGATATTTCAACATGCTTGGGTCTTGTTTCTCGAACAGAGGTCGCATTAACTGTTTTGCGCTGGTACAGAAGATGGAGATTTTGGAGAACCATTTATTCATTTCATTGTATTTGCAACAAGTAGTACTGAATTTCATTTCGCTCAAGGTACATTCTTTCTTCATACATACCCTTTTAGGCTATTATGTAATTTTAATATTATTGATTAGTTTCCTTATAATACTGTTATCAAACTAGATAGCAATAGAAATACTCGAGTATATGAGATAGATTTATCTAATTCAAATAACGTGGTTTATCAGTGCGTCGCGCATATCAGTGCCTCGCGCACTTTTTCACTACTCAATCATTTCAAAATATTATTCAATAATCACAACATATAAAATTAATTGAAACTATTCAGAATCTGATAAACTAGAGTCTTCTAAATCCTCCTGACAAGTTCGTATATTATGACCAGTTTTACCACAAGAGCCACAACGATGTAAAGTTGATTGTTCCCTATTTGAACTACCCCTCTTAAAGCATTTGTTGTGTCGAATCTGATTATCTATATCGGTCTGTAATATAATATCATATCCATCTTGTATACTAAGTGTTTCTCTTTGACGAATTCGACTCTTTTTAGCTTTACGACATTTACTCAATGCCTTATTTGCTTTTCGAAGAGTACGAATCTCAGTACTTATAAGTATTATCTTATAAGCTAATATCTCTGTACCCTTAGTTAAAGCTGTAATTGTTTCAAATATAAGTGTAGGAGAGTTTCCTTGATATTATACAATTCGATTTTTAACTAAGGTTGATTGCGAAAGAGTATTGTTCGAGTTATAAGGTGTTTGAGAAACCTAAGGATTGAGCTTTACAGAGGAGGATCTGGTAGGTGTAGATATTCGTAATTTGATATCTAGCTTAGAAATAACAGCTTGAGGATCAAAGGGTATTAATCCAGCTCCGCAGAATCCAGATAATCCATTTTGAACAGTTATTGATTATAGGTATGCTGCTTTGAAGGCTATAAGGAATTCGACCTTGGTGATATGGTTGATATAAGCCTTAATATACTCTTCAATTTGTTGGTCATATATTCGTTTTAAAACACTAAAACATCCGACATCGAGTGGTTGAATAATATACAAAGAATGAGAAGATAATGAAAAAGTTATAATATTGTGTTCTTTACAATATTCTTGAAATGCAATCGATTCGTAGCTTTCGTGTCCGTCTAATACTAGCATTTGATAACCACTTTGTTTTCGAGCAATAGTATGCTTATCGAAGTGTTTAATCCACTCTAAACCTGTCTCATTGTTTGTCCATCCATTATTAGTGATTTTAATTACTTAATCAAGTGGGAGATCATTTTCAGTATACCAACTCGAAAGGTGATTTTTGTCTTTAACCACTAAAAATGAAGGAATGCTTTCTCCTATACCATTGATATATACAATCACTGTAGCCCATTCTCGATTACCTGGCTGTATTGCTTTGTTTCTGTTATATCGTTCAGTATTAGTTATAACTATCCCAGGGCATATAATACCCATCATAAAGCCTGTTTCGTCGAAATTGTAGAAATCGCAATCGAGAATACTGTATTTCGCCTGCATATTCGATATTAATCGAAACCACCCTTCAATAAGCTTTGGATCTTTGCAAAAAGCTCTTTGGAAATCATAAACACAATTAAAACGCGTCTTTAATTCTGGCTGGCGTTGTACGAATCGATGCGCCCAGAGCTTTCCAACATAGTGTGCTTCACAAATATCGAGAATATTATTCGCTATATCTTTTACATTATTCAATTGAGGGGCAAATCCTCGTATATCCATATCGAGGATATATTGAAGAATCACTTCTTCTTCTAATTTAATTAATTTTTGAGTTGGTGATCGACATTCCTATAACAGGGTTAAACCGTTCATTCGATTCCGAAGTGTTGTTTCAAGGACATTGTAGAATTTAGCAACACTCCGGCGACTCATTTTTTTTGATTTATTAATAGCTTCAATAGCTAAGATAATCCGAGCTTCTTTTGAAGTGTTATTCATTGTTGATTGTTAATTAAACGTATGTTGAATTGAAGAGTTGCAAAATAGTGAAAAAGTGCGCGAGGCACTGATATGCGCGACGCACTGATAAACCACGTTATTTAATATATATATATATATATCTATATTAGATTTAATATTAATTATAACTAATTCAAAAAACTAAATAGTAACCTAGTATTCTAATCTAAGATTAGGGTTTATATCAAATTCATTCTAATAGTCTATTCAGTCCAACTGAATCATAGACTAGTTGTTTAGATTATTATCTAGACGAAAGATTACAACACTATTAAATATATTAGTCTGATATTAGAATTGTTGGTATCACCGTGGTGGTGATGAAGTCAATAGTACTATCGTATTTCACATATTTATATTGTCTTAAGGAACTAAACTATAGAGATACTAATGTTAAATAATATACACTCTGTAGTGGTCAAAGCATCGCTTATTGCCCTAGTCCTTAGTTTTATTGCTTATTACAACTAAGTGAATAATATCCAGACACTAGCAATTATTTAAAAATCGAATGAATTTGTTTTTAGTAATTCTTTTTATATTTTATTAATTTTTTTATTAATCTTTGTTAATCTATTCTATAATCTTGATTTTGATAATATTATTATCAATTAATTTCTTGAATGCTTTTCCTATCTTAGATTTCGTTATTGTATCAATAGGGTTAGATTCTTTATTAATTTATTTGATCTCTATAATCTCACATTATTCATATAATTATCTAAGGGCTATTAAATCGATTATTAATCTTTTCTTCTGGATTATATTAAGCTTAATAAGATAATTATAAAATAATTTGAAATTGATATAAATAACAAAAGGGATTCATTTTTTTGAAAAAAAATATTACTTATTATATTTCTAATTATTATACTGGAATTGAATCCAAATGTTATTCTATAAAATTCTGAAGTCAAAATACTTTATATAATCTTTTTATATTTAATAAATAATTAATAAATAATATTAGCTTTATTATACTTATCTATTAATTTAATTAGATATCTGATTTGTAATAATATATTATGATTATTTGTAAATAAAAGATTAGCAAATATAATCAATTTCAAGGAATTGATATCAAATAATACAAATTTGAATTCTTTTATAGAATTATCGATTTACTATTAAATACAATTATTAAATAGTTTCATATCTTTATTCTTTGGATTAGTAATCTAGATAGTAAACAAAAAATCGAAAAATGCCTCTGATTAATATATTATAGTAATATAAACTTTATGAACTTATTAAATAATATATTAATCCTTAGCTATTACGTTTTTTTGTATCTTTCCTCTGGTTTCTAGTATATTTAATAATTTAGATATTACAAGATATATATTTTTGTGTGACCAAAAGGGTATAAACAGGACT